AGGTGGGTTTGGAACATCTCCAGAGATGGAGACTCCACACCCTCTCTGGGCAGCCTGTCCCAGGGCTCCAACACCCTCACAGGAAACAAGTTTTTCCTTCAGTTTGTCTGGAACTTCTGGTGTCCCAGTTTGTGCCCATTGCCCCTTGTCCTGTCACTGGGCACCACTGAGAAGAGCCCGGCCCCATCCATTTGGCCCCCACACTTCAGCTATTTATAGACATTGGGCTTTGACTCCTTATTTCCCCTCCTTGACTCGCCAGTCAGTCTCCTGTCTTCCAGTTGCCTCTTTCCACCCTGCTCCTCCCTGCTTGTCTCCTCTTCCTTCCTTCCCATATCTCCCCCAAATCCCAGAGCCCCCCCCCCCCAGAGCCCCAACACCTCCCTGCTCCTCTCACTCTTCCAGCCCTGGGAGTTACCAGTGACCCAACCTTGCTGGTGCTGGCTGGAGATGTGGTGGTTTAGTGCTGAAGTGGGCTTTTTGTGTGATGTAGGTGCCCAAGACCAGGTTGAACAGGTGATCCCTGTGGCACCCAGCCCCTCTCATTGTCTCCCAAAGGTGCTCCAGGCCTCGGTGAACCCTCTCCCAACCGTTGCAGGAAGCTTTGAAGGTGTGTCTGGGAAGACACCATGCCGGGTGAGCTCTGCCACGAGCATCTGGGAATCTTGCAACAACATGGAGAAGGATGTGGAGCTCAGCAAGCCAGGTGTCCTCCTCTCCATGGATGGGGAGAGCCCAGAGGCAGCTGGCAGATGCTCGAGCTCTCAGGAGCCCAGAGACCCCTATTCTGGGGTGTCAAATAGTCTCACCTTCAGCAGTGACCCACTCATGGTGAGCACGGAAAGCTCAAGCTCAGGAGAAGCACAGTCCAGAGTCTTCTTGGGATGCCCAGCTCCAGTGCCTCGTGAAGACCCCGGGGGAGATGAGGCAGGTGGAGCAAGCAGAGCTTCCCATCCACCTCCGAGCTGGAACAGCACCTCCCTGGGCACCCATGAGGTCTGTGTGGACCATTACCCCAGCACTCAGCTCAGGGCAGGTAGTGACCCCCGAGATGGAGCTGATCCCCTTGGAAACCCTCCAGATTTTGACTTGAGCACTGTGAGCTGCTCCTCTCAGGCCAAAGTCCCTTCAGGGGACAGCGATGGGATGTCCCTGCCATACATCATTCCAGCTGTGGGCATGGCTGTGATTTCAGCTGTGGCGTTTCTGGTGTACGCTCGGTTGCACAAGTAGCACTGGAGTGGGTGGGATGTCCCCATCGTCACTCAGCCTGGGTGATTCCTCCTCGTAGCAGGAATTTGGCCAATGTCTTTGAAGCCTGAAGAGCAGCAGGGTGGGGATGGTAGGGACATTGTTAAATCTCTTTCTGGAAGGTTCTGCTGGAAGAGGCCTTGGTTGTGTGATGCTGTTGGGTTTGGGTCTGTTCCCCCTCCATTTCCCAACTGTCTTCTTGTCTGTAGCCTTCTCCTTTTACACCCATAGAAAAGGTCTTGTTCAGGGAGTGATCCCATGACTCAAAATAGAAAGTCCTCACAGTGATTCTCCACATCTTCCTTGTTTGGTCCCAGAAGGCCTCAGGGAAACATATCCTGGTGGTCCAAAGGGTGGCCCCCAGGTCCCTCTGGGCAGTGCAATGAGGAGAGGTTTTGCAGATGTCCTGTAAAAGTTGACCTGATTTTGTTGGCTCTGCTCATCTTCACTTGAAAACACACCTGAGGGTCTGTGCAGCCACCTTCACCAGGTGCCTGATGTTGGATTTGCCTTGCTCAGTGTCTCTGGCTCTGCTGCTGGGACCTGAGCTCGTCTCTGCTGATCTTTTCTCCCAGTGCTGGGTGCACAGGCAGGACCTGGGTGCACCAAGTCACGCTGCCTTCTGCTCATTAGTGACGAGAGACACCCCCGTGATGAGAATGCACCAGACCAGACCATGTACCAGCTGTCCCCTCTCCCAGGAGCTGTCATCCTGCTTCAGTGCTTTGCTTCGGAGCATCCTCCCTCGGTCCATGGGCTCTGGGATTGCTTCCTGCAGCGCTGACACCCTGGGGATGAAGCTGAGGGTCAGGAAAGAGCTGCATCTAACCAGCTTTCTGGAGAATCAGCCTCATTTCACCCCCCGAGGAGGGGGTTATGCTTTAAGAGGATCATTTCAGACAGGGCCAGCATTAAGTGGACGTGGTCCCACACAGGACTGTTGGGTGTCTGTGATCTTTAGGTTGTATTTGTTGGGCCTGGCATGGAGGTGGGTGTAGTTCTTGCTTTTCCTGGTAGCTGGTGCTATGGGATAGGAACATAGAAAGCTCATGTCCAGGCTGGGACACAAATAGGAGCAATGCTGTGTGGTGCAGGGAGGCTGTACCTGGTGGTCAAGATGCTCTGGGTCATCTTCTGTGTCCAGAGAAGGGCAACAGAGCTGGGGAAGGGTCTGGAGCACAAGTGTGCTGAGATCCCAGCTGATGGAACTGGGGTTGTTGAGCCTGGAGAAAAGGAGGCTGAGGGGAGACCTTGTGGCTCTGTCCAAGTCCCTTGGAGGAGGGTGGAGAGAGGTGGGGGTGGGTCTGTTCAACCAAGGACCAAGGGACAGGACAAGAGGAAATGGGCTCAAGTTGCACCAAGGGCAGTTGAGATGGGATGTGAGGAAGAATTTCTTTGCTGCAAGGGTTGTCAGGCATTGGAAGGGGTTGTCCAGGGCAGTGGTGGAGTCCCCATCCCTGGAGGGATTGAAGAGTCGTGTAGACACAGTGCTGAGGGACATGGGTTAGTCACAGGGGACTTGTCAGTGTTGGGTTCATGATTGGACTTGTTGATCTTGAAGGTCTTTTCCAACCTACATGATTCTGTGATTCTGTATTGAAGGTCCAGTTTCAAATTGCAGTCTGTGATTTCCCTGCTGTCCCCAGGGATCAGCTTGGAATGTGAGGGGGTTGAGCTGCAAGATTTCTATGACAAAACCCTCAAACCCCAATAAATATCCCCAGCTTCCCCCTGCCCAGGGCAGCTTTGGGGGGCAGAAGCAGCTCCACTCTGTCGCTGTTGGCACGTGTTTTAAAGTTGAGGCAGAGTTTAGTGATCCCCAGCTGTGCTGCCCACTTCTTCTGTTGCTATGGCTGCAGGTTTTTTGGTGTCTCATCTGCTCCCTCCCAAAAGCACAGGGGCACGAAAGTAACACAACTACTTTTCTGTAGTTAGAGGATTAGTGTAGCTAGAGGGGATTTTTGTTTGTTTGTTTTTTAAGCTCTAAAGACACCAGCACAGACTTTCAGGTTGTCCCACCCTGCTGTGATCTGCTGTTGGGAAGAGAGGAGCTGTAGCAGGAAGCAGGACTGGGCAAAACACTTGGTGATCTGGTGGTGGGTTTGCCCAGCAGAAGGCTCGTGCCATGGGCTGGCACAGTGTGAATCCAGCAAGCCGACGAGGACGCCGTGGGCTTTCAACTGTGGCAGTGTCCTGGTGCTGACAGCCAGGCTGCACTCTGGAGAGGCTGCTGCTTCTTCCCTGCTTTACTGTATCCAGTATTCCTCCTGGGTTCCTGCTGTCTGGCCCAGCTTCCCCAAATACCTTCCTGCTGGCAGGGGAGCAGGAGGGAGATAAGCTCCTCAGAGCCTGGATGCGAAGTGCCTGGAGCTTGGTCTGCGGTGGGAAAGTTCAATCAGTCCCAGGATGGAGTGAACAGCTGCTCCTCTCTCCATAACACTTTCCCTTTGCCCAAAAATGCAAGAATTTCACCCTTAAACGATAAAGACAATAAATATACACGATGGTGAGGTGTTGATTTTGATCTGACAGCGCTGCTCTCCAGGTGAACTTGAGATGTTCATCGCTTGCTCAGTGCCTGGCACTTTATCCATTGGAGGAAGGGACGGTGCTTTTAAATACACTTGACCTCCTCTGCTGGGAGAGGGAACGTGGGGGCTCCTCTCCCCCTTTGAAGATAACATGGTGACTAGTCCAAAATCTCCCTGCCAGCAGGGAGAAGAACCTGGCATTCCTCAGCAGCAGTCCTCAGGAAGCTGCAGTTTTCAGTGCTAAGAATTGCTTTTTATTTGCAGTGAGGAAGGAAATCTCCCCAAATCCTTTCACCTTGTTAAAAAGCTGGTGTTTGGTACTGAGTATTGCACCCGAATAAAGCAGAACGTGTCTCCCAAAGCAGAGAACATGAGCCTGTGTAACCACACTGCAAGAATCCATCCACAGATCTGACAGAGAGAGAGGGCACGTGCCTTCTCCACACGCTTTCCGTGTGATTTGGAGGACATCTGTGAGGTCCCAAACCAGCAGCATCCGTACCAAGGCCCATCTTCTCTGATGCTTTACTCGCCTGCAAAATTCTTCACCTATTTTCCCCGCTCCTTTTTAGCAGTGCCTTGTACTCGTTGCCTTTTCACATCGAATCGCTCGTGTGAAACTGCTGGTTTGTCACCACTTCAGACTCCATCAGTTCAGTTCTCTGCTCTGAAGTGCCGGTATAGAATGGTTTGGGTTGGAAGGGACCT